GTGTCTGAAGTTCAGGTGGACTAAATTCGTACAAGTATTAGGTAACAGATTAAAACTAGATATGACATCTATCTTGGGAATTTAATTATATAATCAACTAAGATCATTACTAATAATCACCAGAATTTTAAAATGTGGAGATTATAATCCATTTTGAGTTGAAAATACAGATTATTTCTGGGCATTAGCTTGTATACGCATGACTGCTAATGCTGTGGATACCTTGATAAAATCATTGATTTTCCAGTATTCCTTTTTTGAAATTTCATATAGCTCAAGCTTAATGGAAAATAAAGTCTTTGGTGCTTATTGTTGAACAACAGGTGCATATCTGGATTTATATATATATGTCTATATGTATATATAAAAAGCTCCTTAAGTTTATATATGTATTTATTGAATATATAATATCATATATATATATATAATAAGCTCCTTAATATTTGTCATGAAGGTTTAAAATGACTTCCCAAAATATTCAAATAGTCGCTGTTCTTATTATAATAAGTTGTCTGTTCCTGCTTTTGGAAATTATTCTCCAAAAATGACTGAGTTAGATATGGGGAGCACAAAACATATTACTTCAAAGAGATCTCTCCTTAACAAACATGCAAATGACTGTCCAGTTTTGAATAAGTTCATACATTGACCTGATGTCTTGAGAATCCCATGCCTTAACTTGCAGAACACTGCTGAATTTAATACTTATAAAGCCTATTACTTTGCGACCATTTTGAAATATGCTTGTCACATTCATTAAAAAAAAACCCACCCTAGTTGTCAAATAGAATAACTGTTTATTTTAACCAGATTTTTATTGTGTGTTTTCAGCTATCTATGCGTTATTTTACTCAATATTCATGGTTCCATAGCTGGTAAGTGTAGGAACTAGAAAGAACCCACAATTTCTGATTCTGAACTCTATTATCATTCCAATATACCACTACCATTGAATTAACAAAGAAAGGTTTACATAGAATAATTCACATTTCTTTGGGAAGTTTTTCTAAGTACTTTTTTCATCTAGTTTTTTAAAGTTTATAATTATTGCATAGATGATCCTGGAAATGGAATTTGGCATTTATAAATGTTTTCAATGAGTATCTTCTTTGAAATGATTTTTTTAAATATAAAAGCAGCCCCTTATCTACTTTGTATGAAAATTCTAAAACTTACCTGATGTACAAAACAAATCCTGTCTTAATGTTTATAGAGTGAAAGACTCAACAGACATTTTCTTGACTGAAACACATTATGTGTCTAGCTAAATAGATGGAATTATTTTAATCTATCTGAAAACCCCTTACTGAACTATAAAAAGTACTTATATTTGTTGACCCACTAATGCCATTTCTGCAGACTTAACCTTAGAAAGTGATTTTTAAATGTCTATAGTCATGAATATAGTCTTTGCAATATGAGAATATTGAAAATAATCTAGATGGTCTCTGAATGGATTGAATTTGATGCAGCCATCACAAAATGATCACTCTAGACCCTGTTTAGTAAAACAAAAATATGGTTACACACATCATTGAACAAAACAGGTCACCAAGTAGTAGCTCTACCATAATTACAACTATTTGAAAAATGTGTGCCTGCAGAAGAGTGGCTGAGAAGAGAAAAAAGAACCACAATGTTGTTAGGGTTTTAAACCTTTTGTGTTTTAAATTCTCTTATCCTGATTTGAATTATGAGATTAAATTTGTTGAAGTTTTGTCACCCACTTCTATTATTTGCTAATATAATACTACATCTAAGAGATTTCTTTCGAGGCTCAGCATAGTCCACAAAGTTTTCCTGAGTTCATCAAAGAAACCAGGCCAAACCTAAGTCAGTCGTCAAGGAATAGATCCTGTTTTATTGGTGGTCATCATCAGACAAAGATGTGTCTTAAACGTGTAGGGAATTTGTTCTGTACAGGTAGGTACCAATGGTCCAGATGCACACCTGGCACATGGCATACTTCTCTAGCCCCTCTGGCATTTAGCTCCCAATGACACAGGTTTTCACAGGAGATTTCTTTTTTTTTTTTTCAAAAGCAGAAATAATGGGAGAATGGCTATTTCAATATACTTACTCTGTTCCATATGTCGTGTTGGGAGAACTTAAAGCTAGAAAAAAATAATACAGTAAAAAATGTGTCTCATGCCAAAGCAATTGACTAAATCCTTTGAACCTTTAAAAAGGCTGGTTTTAGAACAGATTCTAAGTGGATTCCTAGTTATCAATCCCCCTTAAATGTATTTAGAATTCTCCTAAACTGCATCTTGCAAGAGAGGAAAGAGTAGAAAATGATAATATAAATCAGTCTTTAACCTACTATATGAACCACACACTCACATGTATGAAGCAGAGAGGATGAGAAGATAAATTAGAATGACCAGGTGTGTGCAATCTGAACCTCGGTTTATATCCCTGAAAATGTAAAGAATGCTGGGACAGAGAAAAAGTCAAAAAGCCCGGCACTCGGGTTGTATTTTAGGAGAATGACGCTCAAATGTCTGGCACCAGACACTTGCAGAGTTGTTTTTGGAAAATAACAAATCTTAGGTTTTAATAGTTATTAAAGAGCTCACACACAGGCTGCCTTCAGATCTTTCTTGTCAGTGTGGCAAAGAGTAAGATAAATGGAAAGATAGGGTATCAGTTTATCTGTTGCCAGTTTCTTTGTGAGCATGTTCAAGAAAGCAAGAAGTACCAGAGAACCAACCCCAGGAGTCTGCGTTCACCTATAGTTTCCTATTACGTGAGACTGCACCGACACAGCTTGGCTTAAACAGAAAAACAGCCTTTTTGTTCGTACGATAAGAATAAATTTAGCATAAATGTAATATACATACGTGAGAAGTTTTTGTGTTCATTTAAGTGTGTCTCCCTTCCTGGTTGTTTTGTTGAGCCTAATCCAGTGAAGTGTTGGTTAGGGCCCGGGGATTTGTGGTGTAGAAAGCTCCGCACCTGCTTCCAGCGCTCAACCAGAGTGGAGGACAGTAGTTCAGGGGTAACAGCTTGTGCTTCTCAATTTTTTTTTTTAAGATTTTATTTATCCATGCATGAGAGACACAGAGAAAGAGGCAGAGACAGAGGCAGAGGGAGAAGCAGGCTCGTCCTCTTTGTATTCTTAGTATCTCTCAGAGTGTCTGTCCCATAATATTTATTTAGCAAATTTTTTTTAAAAAATTAAAGTGAACGAGGTGATGAATGAAGTTGGTTCATTGCTGTGCATGTACAAAGCTTCAGCCAGCTTGGGGTTTAAAAAAATAGCGCAAGGTGTCATTTATGATGCTGACTTTAAGAGGGAGCGTGATACAGATGAAAAGGTCTTCTTAAAAGGAAGCGCTTCGCTCAGTAATGGGATATGGATATAAGGGGGGGGGGAGTACCTAGACTCGATTGTGATCATCTCATGTACACAAATCCGAGAAAACCTGTGCTTTTAAAATCATAACCGGGTCGCCTCTCCTCTTTCCTGCTGTACTCCAAAGGAAAACCCTCGGGGTCTGTATTTTCTCAGTTAGTGCAAGGTAAAGACTGTCTCCTCGGAGCGCAGAGTGGGAGCTTGAAGCTACTAAGGGGACGTTCTGGGTTTTAGACGGCCCTCTTGTGGCAAAAAGGTCAAACTAGCTCCAGCGCAGACCGTGCTGGCAACCTCCTGAAGTGAGCAACCATCCTGGCAAACGTTAATAATAAAGAGTCAGAATTGAGCAGACCCATGAGCAACGATCCATTTCACCCTTTCCCGGGGGCGGGGGGGGGGGAGGCCCATCCAGCATTAACCGATCGCAAACAAATAGTAATGAAAACCCATCTTTTTCCATCTGCTCTGTGTAACCACCGGGGGGAATCGCTAATGATCAGAAGTGTAGTTGTTGTTTTTTTTTTTTTTTTTTTTTTTTTTTTGGTTAAAAAGCTATCAGAGGGACGCCTACATGGCTCAGCAGTTGAGCATCTGCCTTCGGCCCAGGGCATGACCCCGGGATCGAGTCCCACGATGGGCTCCCTACAGGGAGCCTGCTTTTCCCTCTGCCTGGGTCTCTGCCTCTCTCTCTCTGTCTCTCATAAATAAATAAATAAAATCTTAAAAAAGAAAAGCTATCAGACTTAACTTTTTTTTATGCTTTTACTTGTAAGTCGTTTCAGATGAGCACAGAAGTTGCAAGAACAGAACCAGGAGTTCCTGCCTCCCCTTCCCCCAGTTGTCCTAAACAAGACCCTCTCTCACCACCACGTGGTCACTTGCAAAACAGAATTAGGATGGTTTTCTGCTGTGGGCCAGGCCGCAGACCTCAGGTTTCTCCAGTTGCTCTACCAATATCCTGTCTCCGACCCCGGGGTCGCTGGATGGGTGGTGCTGTCTCATTGTCCCTTGCCTCTCATGACCTTGACACTTGGGGAGGGTACTGATGAGTTATTTCGCAAAAACATTCCCCCCCCTTCAGCTTGTCTGATGTTCTCTGGTGAGTGACTTCTGCTCATGCAGTGTCAGCAATGATCCAGCGAAGCGGTGTGCGGGCCCTTCTTTCCGCAGTGCGTCCCACCGGTGGGCACACGGTGCCATCCTGTCCTGTCGTCTTCCTGGCGCGACTCATTTTGATCACTTGGTTCAAGTGGTGCCCGCCAGGTGTCCTCACTGTGAAGTCACTGCTCTTCCCTTATATCAACAGAATTCAAATTAGATGTCTTACCATAGTTAGTAGCCAAAATGCAGTTGCCTTCTCATGGAAATCCCACCGACATGGGGTTGTAACTTGTGTGCGACATGAGGAACTCCTCAAGTTATATGATGCTTTTGTTTGTTTTTGTGTTTGTTTGTTTTTTGTTTTGTTCTGTTCTGTTCTGTTTTTGTTTTTGTTCTGTTTTTTTGTTTTTGCAAATGACCTTTTTCCCCCCCCTTTCACGTGTGGCCCTTCTACCACCGGTTTTGGACTTTGAGTTAAAATCTGCAGGAAGATTCTCTTTGCCCGTGTTGACTGAGCCCCGTGCGCTTCATGACCTCACAGGTGTGTCGAGAGTACCAGCGAGGCAATTGCAACAGAGGAGAAAACGATTGTCGGTTTGCTCACCCTGCTGACAGCACAATGATTGACACCAATGACAACACCGTCACCGTGTGTATGGATTACATCAAAGGGAGATGCTCACGGGAAAAGTGCAAATACTTTCATCCTCCCGCACATCTGCAAGCCAAGATCAAGGCTGCCCAATACCAGGTCAACCAGGCTGCGGCAGCCCAGGCTGCAGCCACCGCAGCTGCCATGGTGAGTAGCGGCATCAGGCCTGTCTTTGTTAGCAGTCAGTAAAGCCAAGTGACCCACTCGATCTGACTACAAGCTATTCATTTATTAACCTTTTAAATTTATTTTATTTTTATTTTTTGTTTTTGTTTTTGTTTTTGCTGAAGATATGTTTGTTCAGGTATCCCAGATAATACATCCTGAAGTTACCGTTCACAGATGTGAGGGTAACTCCTCCAGTGGTTCAGATTGCTCCTACCCTTGGCCTAACTCTTAATACTCTGTCTTATTCTGGATGTAGGGTTTCTGAAACTTCTGCTTTGTAAAGAACCACCTGTCTCCTTTTCAACTTAACGATATCGCCATTTCTCGGTCCTCTTATTTTTCTGTGTGCCATCTAATCAGCCATCGTTCCCCTTCGGTGTGTTCTTTTGCACATCAGGGCTCTTCTCTACGTATATCTTGCTCTTAACAGTAACATAACCTGGAACTATTTAGGAGAATTGCTTAAGCAAAATTGTGGTGAGGATCAGCCACCAGATTTTCAACCGTGTGCTCTCTAGACCGTCTTACGTACTATTGTGGCATAAGCATAACTGTCAAACTAGAGAAGCTTGACTATGCCATCAAATAGAAAGGAGAGAGACAGACAGCAGTACCCAAGGAGTTAGACATTGGATCATTCAGAGCAGATACCTATATTCTTAAGGTAAATTTTAATGTGATCTAATAGCTGATTTTAATGAGTCCATTCTTTGTTCTTTGCTTAGCTGTTTTAATGTTGTCCTTTTTTTTTCTACATAAATATATATGACTTAATCATGAAAATACTCATTTTAAAAAAAAGACACTGTGTGGTATTCACAGCACAGCAAAATAATCACGAGAGAGGTCTTTTCTGTGTTTGTTTACGGATACTTGAGCAAAAATACAGAAGGCAGACTCTCTCCTCCTCTCTTCCTCTCACTCTTTTTTTTTTTTCTGTTAGAGTATCTTGTTTGTAATTAACTACAAAGAGGAGTTATCCTCCCAATAACAACTCAGTAGTGCCTTTATTGTGCATGCTTAGTCTTGTTATTCGTTGTATATGGCATTCCGATGATTTGTTTTTTTATTTGTTTTTTCTCACCTACCCAAAAATGCACTGCTGCCCCCATGATGCACCTCTGCTTGCTGTTTATGTTAATGCGCTTGAACCCCACTGGCCCATTGCCATCATGTGCTCGCTGCCTGCTAATTAAGACTCAGTCGGCTGTCAAATCACTGAAGCGACCCCTCGAGGCAACCTTTGACCTGGTACTATGACCTTTCACCTTTTAGCTTGGCATGTAGCTTTATTGTAGATACAAGTTTTTTTTTTTTTAATCAATTTTAAAAAAATATATATATATATATATTCCTTTTTCTGTTGTAAAAATTGTAAAGTACAATGAAAAACTGAGTGTGGTTTCCTGACAAAAATTAGTGGAAAAGACTATACTGTATGTACCTGGACGGATATCATACAATGAAAGATTCCAAAAGCCCAGCAGCCCACATTCAGTTTAACTGCATTGTAGAATGTTCTAGTGAAATACTTTAAGGACATTAAAAAAAAATGTATTTTTTGACTGTATATTTATGTACCTGTTTGGTTAGCATGGCTTTAGTGATAGACTTATTTATTTTTTTAATATTTATAGTTCAGTGTTTAAGAAAAAAAAAAAAACTTGCATGCTCTGGGACATGTGCATGTCTAGGTAGGTCTGGGGGAGGAGCCGAGTGGGATTAGTTTTTATTTTACCTGTTTCGGTCACTCTGTACAATTAACTATTAACATTGCTTATACTCGTCAATCCTCATGGAGCTCGCAGTGCAGCTTTTCTTCTTTCCCCAAATCAGTGGCTTCTCACAGAAAGCCTGAAGCATTATGGGACTTAAAACACTTTAACACATTATAACATGTGCTCTCGTCCTAGTGGGGTTTATTTTTTTGTTTTGTTTTTGTTTTTTGGGTTTTCTTTCCTTTTTTTTTTTTTTTTTTTTTTGAACAAAAATAATGCTTCCTTTAAAAGCTTTGGTCTTGCCTTTTTTTTTTTTTTTTCTTTAAGTTTTGTTGATTGGATTCCCCCCATCCCCACCCCCCCGGGTAGTTCAGTGCTCTGCTGCTTGCTTGCTCATGCTTCCTAACAATTTTAGCCTTCAACTGATTTTTCTTTTTTCTTTTTCTCTTTTTACTGGTATTTGTTTTTTATACTCATTCACTAAACAGGGAATTCCTCAAGCTGTACTTCCCCCATTACCAAAGAGGCCTGCTCTTGAAAAAACCAACGGTGCCACCGCAGTCTTTAACACTGGTATTTTCCAATACCAACAGGCTCTAGCCAACATGCAGTTGCAACAACATACAGCGTTTCTCCCACCAGGTAAGGGGTCTGAGCTTGTTAATGAATGAATCTGATGAGCGGCAGGGAGTTGTGCTGGTTAAGCAGATAAGCCATGCCCCCCAGTTTGCTGTCAGCCATAGATAAGGTGACAGGTAAGGTGGGCAGTGATGGAAACTTACCTCAGGTAGCACAGGCGGTTTTCCCTAAGAACTGAGAATTTTAACTTAATGAGGAGTGGAATGAATATCAGTGTGATGTTTTATATATTTATTTTTGTTTGTGTAATTTGGAACTGAAATATAGTTCTCTCTCTCTTTTTTTTTTCCTCCTTCCTCAACACTGTTATATGTCTGTCAAGCTATTTTATGACACTTTCTTGCTGTAAGACCCCTTTGCCTTCATGATTCCATAGAGTAAATTGGAATTCTATGAAATGACATTTCCAGGTTCGATTTTTATTTTTCAGCCTTTTTGTTTTCAAGGTGGAGAAAAAAAAAAAAAAAACTTGAAAACTTGACTCTGTGTTCCAGAGCTCTTAAAAAGTGCTCTTACTGGTGCCAACCAGCACATTGCTTAAAAATCATGATTTGCTCCTGACCTAATATTCAAATAGTCCTAAAGCCCCAGGGGGTTTTACACCGACCATTGAGTTATACATTTGTGGTTTCAGTTGATTTCAGCTTAGTCACAGAAACATCCTCTAGAGCTATCCACAAGGGTATAAAATTGAGACACATTAGTCACTTAACTACTTGAAAATTTATTATTTTTACTCACTCTTCATACAGAAGAAGAAGCACATATTAAATTTCTGGTAATCTGGAGTTCAACCAACTGCAGACTCTAATCCCATTTTCTTCTTTACCTCTTAACCTTTCTAAAATGATTACCATGGGTCCAGAGATTTATTTAATAAGATGATTTTATCTTACTCATTGAATGAATAAATTAATGAGGAGGTGTGTAGGTCAGAAGGTCCAGCATCATTAGTATATTATCCTATATAGACAGTCCTTAGATGCACTGGGTTCATAATGCTGTGAGGGGATGTGATTATTTATTTTTGAATAATGAACAAAAGAATATATTACATTCACCTTAGCTTTTATTGCTGCTAAGCACACCTTTTTACACTTAGTTTTTTACACTTCTAAAGCACAACCTTTTATATAGCTCACCTCTGAAGTCTGGCCATCCATATGTAGAATGCGGTTCAACATTCAATGAACCAGAGTATCTGGAGTATTCCATGAATTAAAACAGCGTATGCCTTAGGCACTATGGGTAAAATATCTGTACTCATGAAATAGTATCTATCAAGATGCTGTTTGTCCATTTGAGACTACAGATTACATCGTTTTGATCTGTAGGGTATTTATTACATTCAGAGGAGAAAATCCCTCTTATATTTTATATATATTCCTCTTATTATTTTAAAGATTAACACTTTTTTCTCGACATATATAGATTTTTTCGGAGATTTCCACAATTTGATCTTTTTGCGCTTTTTTTTTTCTTTTTTGCTTTTACATAAATTACTGTGCCCCTAGATCTATGCTGTCTTCAATGAAGTAATCAATTTCTCTATAGTCTGATGGCTAAACAAAGTTTAAAGAGATTGTAGGTAGTAGCTCCCGTAATGTCTTTCAAGTAATCAAAGATTATTTTAGCCGGTTTATTCTCATCGAATAAAACATTGCCATTCAAGGTGAATTTCTTTATTTAAAATCTAAACATTAAAAAGATCTAACTTCTTCTATGTGTTTTTAAGGAAATCTAACATTTTTGGCTTATTAAACGGGTTTTACATTAGTTTCTCCAACATTCTAATAACTGAGGACTTTTCTAAATGAACTTAACCATTAATTAGATGTTATTTATGACAGTAGTCTGTTCCCTAGCAAGGCTTTTAGTCTGTGGATAAGACAGAGCAAAAGATGCTACGTAAGGAATCGGGTCAGGGAAAAGCAAACACGTTCATAATTCAAAATCATCCTTATCTCTCTGTTCTAGAAACTAAGCATCATTAATTTAAATAAAACGTGTCACCACATATTGAAATGTCCTGAAACTGTTAAGGTATACCTGCGTTTGTAGATGAATTTTGCATCAGAGTGATAGGAAATTACGGCAACAGTAATATAAAATTACATTTGTTTGTAACCCAGTTTTAAAGGGCTTAACCTTTATTAGTCATGTCATCAGAAGTAGGTAATACCTTCATCATTCTTTTAAAATATTGTCATTTATAGTCATATGTGCTTGTGTACAAAAAAAAAATTGGCTCTGTGACATTAAGAGGTTAAAATGGATGGCCCATCTTTACTTGTGCCAACCCACTTTGTCGGGTAGCCAGAAAGGAAAGAAATATTTGTAATGCAGAGAATGTAAACTAAAAATGCCTTAGAGGTCAGGCAGGAAACATAAACAAATGGAATGAGAAATAAATCAAGCACTGTGGGGTGCGGCGGGAGGCCCTGGGGAGCACAGCCCCAATCTAAAGGGGACGGTGAATGTTTTGACTCAGATTTTAATGGCCTCAGAGGAATATCTGCCTGGCAGGTTGTACCTGTTGTACACTGCACATCCTTTGTGGCTCCATTTACATTATAGGGTAATTGTGTCCCTGCCTCCCGCACTTGGTCATGCAAACCTGTATAGTCGAATGTAGTGGCCCTGATGTTCATCTGGTATTGCCAGATCTTGTCTTTTTTTTTTTTTCAGTTATTTACTTCATTTGGATGTTCATCTGTGAAATTTCTCAATTTTTAAAATGTTTCCAACTAATTCAACCTCTTAAATGCTCTGAGAACAAGAGGACATGCATCCCGCCACAAATTCCTGTAATCTTACATATATCTAGGAGAAGAGGAAGTTTATTTTCCAAAGACTATGTTATTCTGCAGGCATACAGATGAATTACATGATCAGAGCATCCCAGCTGCCCACAATATAATAATTTTTGCAACTTAGAGTTTTAGAGCTCTGTAGTCTCTTACTTTGTTTATAGCTTCAGGGATGTGTAGATATTTTTCATTGAAGTTACAGTGAAGGATAATTGCCTAAACCAATAGAGGAGGTGACTAGGTAGCTGGCAAAAGGTCAGAGTTCAGTGGCAAGCCAGGTAGCCAGGTTAAAAAAAATTACTATGTATCATAACTTTTAATAACAAAATTGAATTTAGGTGGTGTCTACCTATCATCCATCCGTGCATACCCTCCTCCATCCATTTATCCATCTGTCCTTCCAACCATCTATCTCATCTTCCCTCTTATTCTCCTTTCCTCCTCCCTTCTCTCTTATCCTCCTTACCTCCCTTCCTCTTTTTCTTCCTCTATTCTTCCCCATTTTCCATCCATCCGTCTACCCATCCACCCACTCATTGATGCATCCATCCACCTATCCATCCATCCATCAATCCATCCATCCATCGAGTCAACAAACATTGATTGTATGCCACATGGTATGCCAGTACTGACACTAGGGATTACAAACCTATGACCCAGGAGCTAAACCTAGCATCCAAGAATATTTGTCTAAGAACGTTTCAATAAAAGCAAAATGTAAATCCTTTGGAAGGTCTGCATACTCTCCAGTGCCAAGTCACACAACTCCCTACTGCTTCGGCCCGGTTGTTTCACACATTTTGTTCAGAAGAGCTACCTCTGTTGAGTGTTTGCTCTGTGCCCTACTACACTGGATACTCTATATACGTTATCTCCTTTTTTTTCCTCACAACAACCCCAAAAGGTTGACATTATTATTCCCATTTTACCAGTGAGTAATTTGGAGCCTAGAGTGGTCCAGTGATTCACTCCAAGTTGCAAGTTTCGATAGAACTTGAAATCGGGTCAGGTGGGTTTGAGTCAGTGTCTCAATATCTGTGAGCTCTTTACATGAAATCCTAAAACACGATTTGGCCTAACAGAGGAAGTACGCCTTATTGATAACCTGACTCTATGACTGCTGTTTTATACCCTCCATCACATTTAAAAATAAAAAAAATATCAGATGAGGCTCACATTCAAGCTTCTTCTTTTTTTTTTTTCAGTTTTAGGTGTATACTACTTTTTAAAATTCTTCACCCTTTAAGACTAAATTGATTATCCCTACAGATTATGCAAATCTAAGGTCTACTTATGCTGTAGGTAAGAATTGCACCCCCAAAATTAGAGTAGGTAAGAAGTATCACTGTTAGGTAACATCAGTTTATTTTCTTGAATTTAAATCATGTCCACCTCTAAACTCTAAGCTCACTGTGTTGGATAGAAATATCAGACATTACAAGGATTCTGGGACCCTCTCCTCACATCTCTTCCCTCCCATTCCCACCTTCAAAGAGAGGTCTTGTGCAGTCCCAGCAGGGTGGCCAGGCTGTGCATCCTCCACCCATTAGCCAGCACTGGTCCCTGCCTGTGTGATCATTGCCCCTGCTTACAGGGTCTCAGCAGGGCAGGCATTCCAGAGCTCCCGGGGCTGCCTCGGGTATGGGCATGCTTGCCTGAGCTCCGTAGCCCTCTAAGCAGCCCATTTCTTTGACAACCTGGGCCTACAGGCTGGTTGTGGAGGAACAGGCTGTGTGCCCAACTACTCACGGACCCTGCAGACTCCCCGCCTCTGCATCTTGAGGGCTTCCCGCCCCCCCTTTCTCCCTTACTGGTTTTGCTTACTTGCTGTCCTCAGAAGCACACCTCTCTTCTCTCCTCCTAGCATTATTGCCCTCAGTGTGGGCTTAGGATTAAAAAAAAAAAAAATCTAAAAAGTAAGAGTCCCTTATTGAAGCAACTTCAGCTTTGGCTTATGTTGCAACTTACCAGACATGAAGAAACAGAGGGAGGGCCTTAGAAATTTTCTTTGGCGATGATGTGGAGGTGAGCGGGGAAGTGCAGAAGGATGAAAACAGGGGAAAACAGGAACAAAAAAATTCCCAGCTTGTCACTTTTATTATAATCAATGAAATTCATGCAGACGGTTTACTTGAAACTCAGCATAGCAATCATAAATCAGGCTGGGGAGTTTAAATCCAGCTCCCCCACAAGTTACGATCTCTCTATACCTTGATTTTTTTTCCCCACGTATATAAAATGGGGTTCCTAATGGTAATTATTTCATAAGGTTGTGTTTACGTGAGTCTTAAACGTAATTCCATAAAACGGTCTCTTAAAGCACTTTCATAGGCAGGTCTGAGAGTTTAGAATAAAGCCTGGAAGGTAGTAGCACTAGGTTTTATTTGTTGTTCTTTGAATTCAGTAGCGCAGCGTAATAGAATTCAAAACACTGAATAGAAACAGCAAGGAACTGTATGAAGCTCTTGCTGCGTTGTGAACTTTTAGCTCTAAATGACACAAGTTTAGGCCTCAGGGATACACATTTTGGAAGACCTTACATCAGCTTTATACTTCTAATCTTAAATAGGCTTGAATTATCACATCCAAATTCAGACCTCCAACCAAATCTCGGTTAGACTCCCTTTTTCTCTCTTCTACCTCTTTCCCTTCTCCTTGAGGTATTTTTAACTGTGCAGACATCGCGTTTTTTAAATTACCTTCCCACTTGTTCCTCCTGCATCTTCCAACAGTATTGCAGTCCTCAGAAAACACATCAGTCTGCCATGCAAATAACAGGGGAAATTTGAAATTGGCAAATACGTTCACTTAAAATCTGCCTCGTGTTGAAAATTAAGGGAAAAAATTTCAATTGGCTATTCGTGCATCACTATTAGTAAATCAACCCATTTGATGTAAAGATGGATATTATGGTCATTTCAAAGTGATTTTTGGTTTTGGTAAGTGGGTCCTACAGCATTATGTCTTCATTTTTGTGCGTTATTGCACCTGGCTAGTATTTTCATTGCTGCCTTATGTTTATTTGCTGCCAATCCCTCTCAAAACTGTGTGCACTGGTTATAATGGTAACGAGGAAGATAACTCAAACTAAAATTCAAACCATAGCAGCTTCAGACAGAGAGGAGAGTTAACTCACTTTCAGCATGTGCAGGCTACATTATGCATGGGATGAAATATAATAGGCAAATTGCAGCATCATAATAAATAGTAAATTTAAAACATATAACCTGGACAGTATTTAAACTGGCCTTAAATCCTTGAATACCACAGTATTGTTCTTCCTTCATCTTTCCATCCTCTCTCTCCCAGTCCTCTTGCCCCACCTTGAGAGGATAATGATTTCACAGGATCTAGACCCAGGATTAAATTTCGCTTGCTCTACTGTCTCAAATTAACGTCTTTGTTGTTACTGGTCTGTTTCTGTTGTTGTCTTTCACAAGTCTTTGACTCAATAGTAGTAGCAAATGATAGAGATCTTCAAGTGTCTTAAAAAAAAAAAAAAAAAAAGAATGCCTGTCAGGATAATATTACTCCACCTGAGAGGATGCCTCCCTAGCTCCTTCCCCGAGTTTAATCACTGATCATTGTGCCCAGGGTCTAATTGTGATAACAGACTAATTGCAGCTGTTACAGAGATGCCAGTTCAGTAATCCGTGTTTATCAATGGCAGCTTTGTTTTGTAGGGCCATCTCTGACAAGGCTCAATTGGCAGATATTTTTCTAACAAATGTTCATCCCAGATGCTGCTAGTGTTTAAATAGGATGTGCCAAGATCTAGATAGAAATATAAAATCATTTGATATTTTAAAACCTAGAAATCTAAAATAATCTCATAGAAAGAACAGTAGTTCTTTATGTGGGAAGCGCCCTGTACTTGGTAAAAAAAAAAAAAAAATTCTATTTTGCAATGTTTATATGTAAAAGAGAACAGGGACTGTATACATAATATTTTAACATCGTGGTTGGAACAATCGAAACATCACAGTTAACCCCCCGTATGCGATGTATACATCTTCATTATGTCCCATTCAGGGTTTTTAATTGAAGTCCAGTCAATGATTTCTTGCACATGACATTTTCTAGAATATTTGCTATTCCAAGAAGTCCTGAAGGTCTAAACCCGCAGTGAAAAACCAGTCTGTTTCCTCAGATACCTATTAAGCAAACCAACTTGAGACCAATTTGAGAGTATATCCCCTCTAAATGTTCTTCCTGCATTTAAATTCCAAACAAAAGCGATGTAGAAGTTTCACTTTCTCTTTATGCATAATTTATTGTTTGGTATCCCTCCAAATAAAATTCCTGTACGGATGGATGATCACAACCCCTTCCGTGTCTGTGTGGTTGCTGCTACAGTGAACAGGGAGATAAAACCAAGGGAATGACAATGAGTGTTTTGGTTTTATTACATTGTTAAGCCAGTTTTGTGCATTGGATTACCTAGCATTTTAATAATAAATAATTTCTCTGATTATTGAACACGTGCTCAATGTAAAGAAAATGTTCATATAGTCATGTGTTGAAGTCAGAAATAGCAGAGCCGCCAGATGGCTAGGAACCAGATTAAAACAAAACAAATTAACAATATTATTTTTAAAAGAATTAAGCAAACTTTTCCCCAAATACTTTTATTTATAGGCAGCAACTAGGAGAAACAAAGTGTACCAGCACACAGTTAAACTGGCTTTTATTCTTCACTTGAGACTAGTTCTAATTGATCACTGTGCTATTGTATGATTTGATTGTGCTGACAGTTACATGCCACTGTTCCCATAATAACAATTTTTCTTCTTTGTTCAAATGAATTTCCTAATTACACGTGTGATGGGATGTTTTAATTCTTTTCCCTTTTCAAATCCACCTTCCTGTTGCAATGCATGATGGGCAGGCTCAATATTGTGCATGACACCCGCTACAAGTGTTGGTAGGTGCCAGCTTTGTTTCTTGATTATCTTAAACCTATGGTGCACCTCACAGCCCCTCAAAATCCACTGCTAAGTTTAACTTATATCTATTGGGCAAGTCCATTTCCCTTTTACTAACACCTGTCAATTAAATGCCATTTTCTATTTAATTGACATGGACTCACATAAATGTTTTCTTTACACACAAGTTTCCTTTAGTCACCTTTGGTGGATTTTGATTGGACTATGAGTTCTGGTGTGTAAAAAAAGAAAAATCTGTATCATAAAAGTAATGTATTTGTGTATTTTTATAATAATAAATAAGAAAAATACGTTCGAACAGATAACTGTATAAATGAAGTAAATAACCTGTATTTTGACGTAGATTTTGAATGTCTGACTATGAACACTATATGAAATTCTTGTTTTTGACGTAGCAAATTAAGCCTGTTGTGTCAATTTTCTTGATTTGATGGTAACAAGCTTTTTTTCCCCTTTTTTTTCTCTTTCATCCCCTTTCCCCTTCTCTCCTTGGAATGTTGTCCTGCTTTGCGCTGTGATTGCATGTCACTCGCTGGTGATGATGTCCCGTCACATGGCTTATTGCTGTGATAAATACCATGCCCAATTATCTCCTCCATGTTGCCATGGTTTCCATATTGCTACACTCTTCTGTATGTTTGCTTATATGATTTTCCCTCCGAAAGTTCCCATGGTGCACGGTGCTACGCCAGCCACTGTGTCTGCAGCAACAACATCTGCCACAAGTGTTCCCTTCGCTGCAACAGCCACAGCCAACCAGGTTTGCTAATTTACAGCTTTGTTTCTTAAAAACCAACTCTAATAGGGCTCGATCCAACAGCCCTTACGCACGTGGATTTCCCATTGAGGTCAGTGGGAGTCGTGTGTACGTGAGGGCTGTAGTGGGTGCTTTAATAGCATGGGGTTTCAAAGATACCTCTTGTTGGCCTACACATTCTCTCTATGATGAGCAGCAGAATGCTTTTATGCCATTTATAAGTGCTCCAAAGTTGTCGCGGCTCCATTTCTAAAGCTACTAAAATGATATTTACACAAGCAATTCTCATTTGGTCTCAATCGTGCAGGTATTTTGACCAACCAAAAATGCAGGTAATTGTAGGTTTTTATTAGAACCATCTGCTATATACAATTCCTTAGTTCTCGCCTAAATTCTTAACATAAAAAGCAAAATGTTTAAACATGTCATATATGCCACAAATGACCAGTCTTGTAAATAGAGTTCGTTATAAGCTCATTGCAGTTTCATTTGATAAGCAGATTGTATATTCAGAATAAGTTAGGTTGGTGTCCAGGTTTTGATGCTCAGTGCTTTCAACAAAACACATACACATGCAAAACAAAACAAAACAAAACAAAAAACCCTATGCGCTCTTATTGCTATAATTAGCCAGCATAGGTTTTGGAGAGCTATAAAGGAAAAGAGGTAATATGGTAAATTGAGTCATTCGGTGTTCCATACAAGTTCGTAGAGTAACAGCTTCACAGATTACTCATAAGGAAATGGGGCCGGTTTCAGAAATTTGAATTTTATGATGTACGGGAATGACTGCTCAAAAGAAAATTATTATTAAAATATTTAAAAGTTAAAAACCGACATTGATTCAACGCTCTCTGATCCTGTTTTGAGTTGTGCTTTAGAAAATAACAGTTGACTCAAAGTCAAACTTACGTGAAGTCGGCTTGGACTTCAACGTATAGGCACGTTCGTTACGAAAGCAAAGTTCAGTAAGGTTTAGAGCCAAGTCAAATTTCAGATAACCCACAGACTAAGGCTCAATGTAGCCAAATGAGGCCAAAGAACCAGTATCAGATGGGAATCAACACGTGGCCCCTTGGGAAGGGAAGGCCAGTTAAGTGCCATCTGAATCTGTGGTTAACTGCTGCGAGAGGTAGCCACCCTGGTTTCTGCGGTACACCATGTACTGTTGAAGAACTGTAAGCTATTAGTGCAGCCATTAAAAACTTTCAAAAGCAGCATGCCGAAATGGGTGTATTTTAAAGTTTCAGACAAGCTTTAAACATTTCTTGGCAAAGAATCATTAGTTTTTCTGAAGCTTGTCAAAATAGCCCTGGATTTATGCTAACACATCAGACTCATTTACAAGAATACTAGATTGTGCATATGTGGCATGTTAGTAAGTAATCTATGGCAGAAATTTCTTAATGGATTCAATGCAGTCCATTTATGGTGCGAATCAATGATGCTGAGCTCTGTGCGTGTACCATGTATGACTACAGAATTGCTGGTGTAAGCAGAACTATAGCAAAGCAAATTTCAACATGCCCTGGGCCACCTGGGTTGTAGGGGACACTTTACTTTTTGCATTGTGCTGTGACCATTTCATGCATAATCTTGGGTCTTCATACTGTTTTACAACCAAAAGAAAGAAAAGGGAAATGGATATATATATACACACATATATTATATCTACATATACATACATATGTATATGCCTACAGTATATTAGCAATGCTGGAAATAGCTGATGCCACAAAATGCAGCCTGCATGCATGCAGAAGTTTATAGCTGGCCCTTCATCTGCATCGATTGGTGTTGAAGGTCCTTGGTATGTTTCGACAGCCCCATCCTTGATGCTTCTACACTGTTGGGTGCAACATCCTGTCCTGCAGCAGCAGGAAAAATGGTATGAGAAGCTTCATTATGCTTGGAGCACATTTTCGTGCCATTTGCCAATGCTGTAAAACTGTGTAAAGATGTCAGCTGAGAAATGGAAATAAAATAGAGACATATTAATTTACACTCCGACTGCAGAATTGTAATATGTTGGATTAGTCTAGGACATCTAAATTGAAACAACAGCAACAAAATGCCTTCATGTATGTGATTTCCCTCTTCGCCCATCAACCTTGCCGAGATGGGATCAGTGCCATTTTATAGATGAAGAAACTGTTAACCATAGAATAATTAAGTGCTTGGCTCAAAGTAACCCGGCCAAGAAGTGGATCCACTCGTGTTAGAACCCTTTTCACTCCTCTGACGGTCTCACTCTACCGTGCAGCCTTCTCCCAGGTTAGCAGCCATAATTCTGGGTTGGAGGAAAATCTGGCTACAAATTGGAAGTTCATTGCTTTGGGGACCATTGCAATAAGGCACCTCTGTATTGATTTCGTACTATATTTTTTTCCTCAAGTTTTTTTTTTTAAATTCTCTTGCCCATTTATAATATGATAAAATGTGCAATCCAGATTCAGAAATATGTTTTGAAATGAACCTGTGCTCTTATCTGGTTCCTTTGAAATGCTCCTTTAAAATCTTTACCTTGGTATTTTTAATTTGGAAAAAAAGAGAAAAAAGTTAGGGGACCGTAAGTTGAACGAAAATGTTAGAAATTGGTTGCACAAAAATAGGCAAGGCATTTCCTACTTTGATTTCTGGATTACTAAAAAAACCGAAACCACAGGTGTGTGTGTGTGTGTAGGCCAACAAAAAGGGCTTCTTTCAATTACTGCTGTGCATGAAATTTTGGTAGTTTTACTTCTCTTACTTCCTAAAAACTGATAACTTTTATAGAATAGTATTTAACACAAAGGTTTTAAACAATGAGTTGCTACTTGGACATTAAGTTTACATTAACTTATTGTTATGTTGGCCAGATAAGGACTGTCACCTCACAGCTGAATTTCACTTTTCTTAAAAAAAAAAAAAAACTTAGTATTAAAATGTTTTCATCTCTTGGTTGTTGGCTTGCTTGCATGGATCATTCATCAAATAATTTTTTATTTGCTAGATACCCATAATATCTGCCGAACATCTGACTAGCCACAAGTATGTTACCCAGATGTAGAATTTTCATCACTAAACAGTAAGTTCATTATGTCATATATGGTGTGTACTTGTAGTGTTTCTTTTTTAAGATAACATTTGTATGATGCACTTGAGAAAATTTTGCAAAACTTCAGAGAAAATATGTATTTTATTTTATTATTTTTAAAATTCTCTATCATCAAATATTTATTGAACACCTGCCTAGAGACTGGCTCGGTTCTGTAAGTAGAATGTACAAGCGAATTAAACAAAGCTCAGATGAATGAATATGTTTATAACCCAGCATATGTTACAGTACTGAAGGTTCTGAGCGGAATAAGGAAGATCTCCCATTTTTATCTTAAAACGGCTTATAAGGAATTTTATTATACACATTTACAGTAGACATGTTAATATCACTTAAATATACATAATACTTAGGGAAAATAAATGTTGCTTTTAGTTTGTATTAGAAATAAACACAAGTGTGAGAAAAACAAATGTGATTTAAAACTAAATAGGTGGCCTAGATCAGGGGTTGGCAAACTTTTTCTGAAAAGCCCAGATAGTAAATATTTGTGGCTGTGTGGACCATATGGCTTCTGTTTCCACTCTTTCCTGCTGCAGCTCAGCCACTGAGCATGGAGTGGCTGGATGTGGCATATAAATGAAAGGCTGTGGCTGTCACCCAATAAAACTTTATAAAACTAGGCAGCAGGTAGGAGTTTGCTGAGCCCTGGTGTAGGTCATCGTTTCTTTTATTTTTTTAATTTTTTTTTCTAAGTCCTAAATGAGAACATGTACCTGCTTCCCCCACACACAGGGTCATCCACATGTAAAGAGTTGGACTTTAAATAAGTATATACACACACTCACATATGTGCATGCACGTACATCTGTGCATCCAAGTGAGTTTCAGGTACTTCAGGGTAGTCGCCTTAGAGGATTGCACAGTTCTGAAAATGTTGCCATTGCTCAGAGATAATTTGAAAGTCTTATGCTTTTCCTTCAAACACATTGACTTAGGTGGCCATTTTTCATCCTTCCTGAGAGGTGATCTTATATTCAGAATGTGTGTATTCAGGCTATCATATATATATATATATATATATATATATATATATATATATATACACACACACACACTAAGAATATTTCTTATATTTATCTTTTTAAAAGATTTTATTTACTTATTTATGAGAAGACAGAGAGAGATAGAGAAAGAGGCAGAGGGAGAAGCAGGCTCCATGCAGGGAGCCTGATGTGGGACTCGATCCCGGGACCCCAGGACCTTGCCCTGGGCCGAAAGCAGGCACTAAACTGCTGAGCCACCCAGGGATCCCCTATTTCTTATATTTAAAAAGAGCCACCACGTTTAAAAACTGAACCTGGCCATAAGATGGGCGGTCCTTCTTTGTTGCTTCCTTTCATGTATCTGAACACATTTACCAATGACTTTTTTTTTTTTTTTGGTACTGTGTGTTACCATGTGCTCCCATGTCAATGAGATCAAGATGAATAGACAATGAGATAAAAGATGGACATTTTAATTTTAGCACACTTTATTAAAATAAGTTTGAACAAATTTCTCTTGGAGCAAAGATGAAGGAGCAATTTTTTTTTTCCAGCAGAGTCAGAAAATAAGTGAATTGGGAGCAATGATGGTTGCGATAGAGAGAAGGGTGGAGTGAGGGCCTTTGAGAAGAAGGGACGCTGTGCCAAGTGAGGGCATGGTAGCCGAGAACCAGTTTCTGAGACCCTTGTGGATAATAATCCGCAGCAATAACTGTGCAAAGGTTGAGCCCATGCAGGAGAAGAGGATAGACGATATTTGAGAGCCATCCCAGAAGTAGCTACCAAAGACATGCTGTAATCGTGAATTAAATTACTGAAAATGATTTTTGTCTACTTCATAAGCTTTCTCAGTAATCTGATAATCATCCTGAACGAGAGCCACATTTTTTAATAAGCACATTACTTTGTAGTTATGTAGGTTTGGAAGGAAAGTCCTCCTTTTGACAGGTTAAAAAAAAGATCTACTTCAAGCTTTTGTAGTCAATTGGGTACGCTTGGTATGTATACATGTAACTATGTTTATTTCTGAGCAATAATCCAGGTTGAAAAAAAATAATACCAAATGGCCATTAGTTTATCAATTAGCAAGCAAGTGGATGTGTCTGTATTGATTGAAGCTTAGGCTCTTAATGTTCTTAGACTCTTAATGTTTCTTGGCTTTAGGGGGGAAAAAGATCCCAAACAGTTACTTAGAGTATCATTTTTCCCCAAACACACACCACGCTAAGCACCCAAGTATGAGGAGTCCTGTTTACGAGGACTTAAGTTGCATGGATTTTCATTTTGTGGGGCCGAATCATTACTCTTGAAACCTGTTAAACCATAAAAGAGGTGAATTAAAGTGAGCTCAAATTCTGGCCCCCACTGACTCTACCACCACGTTATGCCCCTCGATTTTGCAGATTGTACCTTGAGCTCAGTATGGGGTGACATTTGAGCAGAGCCCTCAGCTTGCTTGCTTGCTTTATTTATTTTATTTTATTTTCTTTTATTTTTTATTTTTTATTTTATTTTATTTTATTTTATTTTGTTTATTTTGTTTTATTTTTTTATTTTTATTTTATTTTATTTTATTTTATTTTTATTTTTTATTTTATTTTATTTTATTTTATTTATTTTATTTTATTTATTTTATTTTGTTTTATTTTATTATTTTATTTTATTTTATTTTATTTTATTTATTTTATTTTATTTTATTTTATTATTTTATTTTATTTTATTTTATTTTATTTTATTTTATTTTATTTTATTTTATTTATTTTTCCCCAGTTTTATTAAGCCGTGCATGTCCTTCTGTTCTCTTAGAGCTGTACATTTAGGTCCACTTGCACTTGTGAAGCCTTTGTTGTTGTTGTTTTTATGGGAAGATACAACGACATAACGTGTACTTTAAATCAAGAAATGCGATTTTCATAGTAAGTATGTCCTGGAAACTGCTTTATTGTCTGTTTTAACAAAGATTATCTCTTTTTTCCCTTGTAGATCATACTAAAGAGGAAAGGACAGTGTGCTTGGTTAGAGTAAAGGACGAGGTCATTAGCCATATTGTATATACCGTCAAGCAACACACACAAAAACCCCTCAGCCACAAGACATCCACATATTGCATGTTACCCAGAAGAAAAGACAACATGGAAATCCACTGCACACTGTTGCCTATACACTTTGTACATTTAATTGATATTTGTGCTGAGGTGATACTCCTGTCTAAAAGAACAACATTGTCTTTCTTTTCTAGCACAGAGTTATGCATTAAAACATGCATACCTAATTCGTTTCCTATCTATTCATGCCATCTGGAAAAGACAGACTATGGTGTAACCATGATTCTATTATGTATTGGTACGTCTGTAGACCAAGATATAATTTTTTAAAAATAAGTTTATTTCTTTCAAGGTTTACAAATAACAAAGGTGCACCTTGTATTTAAAATTGCCATTATAGATGAGAGCGTGCATGCACAGTCATTTTTGTTTAAGAGTAATATTTTTAATGTAATAGATTTTAAGATGTGGTGAGGGAGGGATCTGACAGAGATGAATGTGCCAAGCAAAACCACAACTGTGTATCTTTTAAAGCACATCATGGCTTTAAGTACCATGTTGTTAAGGATTCTCATGAAGTGCCATAGACTGTACATCAAATTAGAGTATTATTTCTTCAGTGTTATTGTTTTCAGAGCCACATTTTGTTGCTTATTTGCTAGTACTAATCAGTCAAAGGGCACCATTCTTTTTTTTTCTTTTTCTTTCTTTCTTTTTCTTTATCATCTTTCTTTCTTTCTTTCTTTTTTTTTTTTTTTTTGAAACCAAAGCTGTCTCAGAAATGGCCAATTTAACTCTACGGTAACAATAGACAGCACAACACAAACTCGATACAGATAAACTCACACATACTGGAGATATATATAATAGATATATATATATAAAATTATTTTAATGCATTGTAGTGTAATATTTATGCATACTATACTGTATAACATGTTATTCAAAAGGGATATGCCATTTCTGAGACACGATAACAAAAGAAAAATGTTTGAGGAAATTATTTTGCTTCTATTTATAGCTCTGTCAAAAGTCAAAAGACTATAAATGCTTTGCAAAAATGGTTTCACATTTGCTTAAATGCTTCATCACAGTCACATTTAAAATAGTGACTCTAAACAAAGAAGAAAGCAGCACTGTCATCAGATGCATGATAAACCAAAATATGAAAATGGGAAATGTTTAATTAACCTAGTAATTGGGTGGGTTAAGTACATGGGTGAATTTTATATGTGATTTGTTTTGTTTTGTTTTGTTCAGATTAACTGCTTATAGCCTTAGAAAGCCTTTTACAAAATTAAAAAAAAATAGATGTGCATTCAGTTTTTAAGAATGGATTCATCCAAAGGAATTCCTTTTTTGTGGTTTGGATGTTGCAGCTAGTAAAGGATATTTTTGCTCTGTTCAGCAGTTCTAAAAATTGCTGAAGTAGGGGCCAGGTCACTGGTAGTTATAGTATGGAATGGGAGAAGCGAAAGTTCAGTTATAGAACTTTCCATACTTCCAAGTTTACTGCAAGTTTTTATGCTTGAGAGAGATGCTTTCTAATATAAGACTGATGTGTTGATTTTACTGATTGTACTGTACATCTATTAAAGCCTTAGATTATTACATTACGGGTTGGAACCCATACCAATGTAATTTCAATCATGTTAAGAGAGTAATGGTGACTTCACATGTTATTGTAGTTAGTTACATTATAGAATATTACTTATTTTTCTTGTTAAAATGTAGTTTTTCATTTCCTACATTTATTAGATTTCATTTTCTATTAACAATTGAATACCATTTCAGTTTATAGACTATTGTTTTATTAGATTTTACCGATGAATTTTTCAAAATACAAAAAAAAAATTAAAGTAGTTTTTCCTTCATAACATACTCAGTTTTAAATTACATGTAGTGTCATACGAATATTCGTATTATTGTTAACTAAATGATTTATATTTTACTGATTTAATATTAAAGTGTAAGAATGTCAGTCATTGTTAGTTCTTGTCTAGTTTTCATTAAAAAGAACAAAGATCTTTTATATGGATATCTTATAAATATATAATCATTGCTAAGTAAGAAGTTAAGTTGTTGCTATCGCAACAATCCTGGCAGACAATTGAGTAATATTTTGATGATTTATTTTGTTTGTAATTAGTTATTATAAGAAGATCTAGATCCTAGATATTAGAATAAAATTTATTTTCTACTGTATCCATTTCAAATGTTAAAGTATTGTTTAATATTTTTGAAATCCCTGAATATCAGGCCTTGTTATAAATAAGCTGCATAATCAATAAATAGAACAAGGGACTTTTTGTTGATAATCCAAATACTCAAAGTTTACGTAATGAGAATTATAGCGCGTGTGCAAACTCTTGAGGGTTGATTATGCTGCAATTTAGCATGTTGGAACGTCTAGAGAGAAGGTTGACTTTTTGCACTTCTGTATATAGTCAAAAGAGAGAAACCTGTATAATAGTAAGATCTTATTTTGAATAAAAACGTCTATAATTACAAGGAGTTTTGTTAAGGCTAATAAAATGACAGACTGAGCAAAATTGCTTGCAAAAGTGGCACAGAGTTAGCACTCCATACCCCTTCAAACATGTTGCTTTGCTTTATTGTGGACAGCTTGTAGTTTGCCAGGATTTTTTCAGCTGGAAAGATATGCCATCCTTCCGAGATCTCATGACTGACAAAAACTCCATTGGGCCAAATCTGCCTGAAGATCATTACCAAAAATAGCAGGTACTTCAACCATTAAGGTGAAATCATGGATCAGATATTCCGTACATTTTTCAAAACTACTGCATGTTTAAAACTTCAACGGAAAAAAAAAAAGCAAGAGAGAAAGAACTATACTAAGGACATATATTATACAAATCAGTTTCTGCCAATTTCAGTGGTTTATTGTTCACAAAAAAAAAATCTTCAAAACAAGTATTGACTTTCACAAAATTTAAACCATAAACAGGCAAACCAAACAGCACACCGTAGCTATAGTTGTTATGTGATTGTTTTTTAATTGCCGTAGGATCCTGTTCTTTCAGCAGGTGAAAAAATAAAACACAGTTCAAATTTCACGGTTTTAATTTTCAACTCGAGCACTCAAAAAAGCAAATGTGATAATGGGCACTCGTTTAATGAATTAGGGTATCCAGCCTTCACTCCAGCTGGTTATCATGTTGCACTTACCCGCAACCCTACAGCCTTCATCTGCTGAAAGGACAGATGTGCTTGGTTTTACTATTATGTAATCACAACTTACTTTCTGCTTGTAGTTGCTTAAAATTATGTATTTTGTCTTGGGCTGCAATTTGTTTTATGCTTATTTTATTATTACTGCGATAGTTGACTTTGCTGTATGGAAAAATAAAGTGAAATTGCCCTAATAAAACTTCTCTTTCTTAAGTATATTTGTGTATCTGAGACTGGAGAGTAAATTATTTTTTTGCGCGTTTCGAGTATCCGTGCCTGCCTGTCTTCCGGACCGTATTGATAGGAAACTTCATTATCTGGTTTTAACTGATTGTGAGGAAGACATTCGCTATTTTTCTCACTAATTCTCCTTTGGTACTAAGAGTGAGAATCTGAATCGTGTGACGTGCTGCCCGGTATTTTCCGAAAAGTCTTGCCCACCCCTTGCCTGATGCTCTTATATGCTCTCCAATATTATTTTGAGTAAAAGGCGGGGGGGGGGGTTCTCTTCTATCAGTTCCAGAGCACTGTCTTTGTGGCAAAGAGCTGTTTTGCGTTGGACTTCCCCAGGAGGCTAACCCTGGAAGCCTGACCATCTAAGGGAACATTTCAGTAATGAAATAATCATTGATTCGGGGGATCAAAGAGGTCACACACATACAGCTGAGCCAGGCCGTGCTGTCACTTGTGTGTATGTGTGTGTGTGTGTGTGTTTGAATTTTTTAAACAATGACTTAAAATTTTGGTTGAAATGAAGGTGTAGGATCCCATATACCTTTGCATTTTGCCATTTCCACTAAGAGCCAGCGAAAGCCAAAGTTCCCATACGAGGAAATTGGCTCATTTGTTCATTCAGGGCCATTTTAGGTGATGGCCAGTTCATATTTGGCCAAAGGCTGCAAATGCTCTTTGTAGATCTTGGGGGGGGAGGGGGTGCAGGTTGTTTTGTTTCTCTAAAACTTACTGCTAATATACTTATGAAAGTAAGTATACTATTCATAATTAATACAATTCTGTTACTATTTGAGTTCTAGAGAACGTTTCTGTTATTCTCAGTGGACCCAACTATTCCAGGGCCACTTAACAAAACACAGAGTAGCTGGCCTGGAGAGAAGTATCTACAGCAGGAGTTTGCAATCTTGGGTGACATCCAACTCTCTCCAATAGTCGTAAGTATTTTGGGTATCTTTGAACTGAAAACGGATTATAGTAAACGACCAGCCATTGTCACATTTTAAATGCTTTAAGCGATCCTGTATTCTATTAATCACAACAGAAAAAGGGTGTTTCCTATATTCCTTTTCCAGACAGCACTTACTGTCCCAGGGGAGCTATTAGTGTGGGGACCACCAGGGGTCCTCAAACCCCATCTGAGGCGTCATTAGTTTCTTATCTGGGGAGCAAAATCATCTGCTAGAGCTGTGCTTTCCTTGCAGGCCCTTGACACTCACAGAGTTCTCACTTGGGAATTCCTCCGGAGGTCAGGGACGTGTGGCCATCTAGGATGTCACTGGGGCACACCCTGAACGGAGCTTCCTTCGCCCAGGAAGTAGTCCAACCTGTGGGACGCTCAGCAGCAGGATTTTGTGACTTTTCTACTCGCTTTCACTCCCTTCTCGAACGAGTCTGGGGCAGCACCCTAATCTCGAGGTGCTCTGTGTTCTGGAGAGTCTAGGGTGCTGTGCTGTTACTCGAGGATTTGGAAACTTTTGAAAGCCTGGAAGGTCTGGGCTTTAAATGTTTAAAGTCTACTGTATTGACATCACCGAGAGGTCCAAAACTGTCAAACAGAGAGATTTAAATGTCAAGCGATTTGTTTTGAGTTCTCTTGATCTGTCAGGACAACACTGGGCCTCCTTGAAATGGCTTTGAGGTGGCACTGGCCCAGCCACCAGCTCGTCATTCTTGCTGTTGGTCCCAACCATCCCCAGAAGGGGCCTTGGCCCCAGCAGCACTTGGGGCGGGTGGTAAATCTGGAAGCTTCCTTAGCCTGCGGCGGCGTGAGGCCACACTGGGCCACAGCTCTCCCTTTCCCAAGTCCCCAGGACTTGAACAGTAGGTCTGGTGTGCTCTGAACCCCAGAAGAATGAAATCCAGATGTGTGCTGAGCCTGACCTGGGCCTGGGGACTTGGGAACTCTCCTTGTCCCCAGCACTACTGCCATGCTCCTCAAAGTCACCGGCACCTGCCCGGGAGGCCTGTCACCCTCAGGTGCTCTGTCTTAACCCCGCCCCCCGTCAAGGGTCCCAGGCAACCAAGGGCAGGTCCTGCCCTGTGTGCCTTCTGAGGAACCTGACCCCCCTCATTTCAATCCTTTTTTCGTTGTAAGGATTTTTTCTTTGTTCATCCAATTTTTTTTTCTTTTGCCAATTAAATGTTGGGAACTAGAACGAAACATAGCCTGCTCTTGAATTTACCATTTTAGAAAAAAAAAAAAATAGCAGCAGGTAAGAACACAGATTAAATCTGCTCCCACTACTGATCTGATAAAGGTCTTTCAGAAGCGATTTCCTGAAGCCAGAGTGAGCAGTCGCTCTCTCCCTAACTGGGTTTCAATAACGACAAAGCATAGACTCTTTTTCGACAGAAAACCAACCAGGAGCTTTATTCACGGTGGTTGGAAGCCCCTGGGTTGTTATGTTAGCTCTAACAGTCCCACTGGCCTCTTGGCGGAGCTGGGGGTGTGGAATCCCTGACCTCGGAGCCTGCGAGAGCTCGGTGGCCGGCTTCGGCTCAGCTTCAGGTGGGCCTGCGTGATTCCACCTGCTGGGCACAGTCTGGCTGGAGGGAGCTTGTAGCCCATGCAAACACTTCCTGGGCCTCGGCCGTGTTAGGTCTCCTTGGACCTTAAAAAGCAGCCATGGAAGGAAACATCTCCATAGGAGGGTCCCGCCCCTGTGTGACTCCTCAGGCCCAAGTTTATTAAATCCGTTTTGGCCCTAGATACACAGTTCTGGGGAGGGAGTTAGGTCCTGAGTCCTGCCCCCCAAATTGCAACTGAAATGCAGTTGCCTGGACAAGGAGAGCTACAACCCAGATTGCCCATGCAGGCAGCATAGGGTCACAGGCCAACATCGAGTTCGTCATAGACTTCGACACCAGCAGCCATGGTGGCTCTGAAGGTCTAGAAATAAGCGAGCATTGGGCAGAAGTACATCCTTGAAATTTGGGGCAATGACGTGCCAGGGAGCCAAAAATTTATAGCCAAGCAGCTCTCCAAAGCCCCTTTCAGGACGAAAGAGGAGCTGGAAGCCTGCGGCAGAGGCTGAGCAAAAGAAGCCACAGTAATTGGCATCTAACAAACTAACAGTCAAAAAATCTGGGCCCTGAATGGGGTCTCAGGAACAGAGAGCACCTTAGTGTATGTTCCCCCGGGCCCCCTTTTTGTTGCAAGGCAACCAGTTCCCGGTTGTGAACTTAGGGGGGCGGCCCTAAAGAGCACTGGAAGTAGTGACATCCGGGGTGGGGGGAGGCTAAGGAACCGGGGCCTTCTACATGGTAAAGACAGGTACCCCCCAGGGAGACCAGTATCACCGATGCCGGTAGGAAACAAACCACGTAGGAAGAGATTAGAACCTCCTATGATGTTTTTTAAGACATGTGTTGAAAATGTCCTTAAATTCACAGAAATCCAAGCTCCGCATTAGAAATGACCGTAAAGCTCCCCGCAGGAGTGTCTGTGGTGGTTGAGATCAAGGGCTCTGGGACCAGACCCCCCGATACATCTCTCAAACCCTTCAACCCTTTGCGGTCCCTTCCTTCTCCGTGACTCAGTTTCCACCCTAGTGAGACGGACACCCTAAAGGGAATACTCACCTCGCGGGGTCAGGGAGTGGTTCCCAGGCCTTGCTGCGGTTGGGAATTATCCGACGGATTTTTTAAAAAGTGCTGATGCTCGGTCCCTACCCCCCGGGACCTTCTGATCCGGTTGCCATGGAGGCAACTCTTGGGTGAATCTGCGCAAGGTGCTTGGAGCAGGGCCTGGCCCGCGGCCCGCACTGGGCACCTGTTACCTGCCACAGCTCTTCTCCCGCCCTTTCGTGGACTCCCGCACGTGCCCTTTGGCTGCCAGCTCGGGGTTTCGGTGACACTTCCCTCTGCAAGGAGCCAGGTGTGCACCCTGTGGATCTGTGTTACCTGCGGTTCTCTCCCCTGTTGAGTCGGGAAGCCTCCTCTCCCCCGCTCTGCCTTCCCCTCCGCCCCTGCTCCTTTCTGCACGTGCAGTGAACGTCCCCAAGACAGAATCAGGTACTTTTTTGACTCACCTCGAAAACTTGTCTTTCATTTTCCAGCACGACAGGACCGCAGATCATCATCCCCACGTCCGGTCAGCCCGAAGGTGACAGTTTGGACGTGTCTCGGCTTAAGTATTATTTGAATGTTCCCGCCTCTAAATTGGGCCTGAGAGTATTTGCAGGCCCAAGAGTGGATGCCTTAATCATCACTTAGGAAATGTGCCTTTAGACAACGTGTTCCTAACACGTGTTATGTTTATCAAGAGAATCTTTCCAGATCGTTTTTTGTCACAGGCTTCTTTTGGATGCTGACGTTAGTGTGAACTGAGCTCTAGAAACTGTAGTGAGGCTCCAACTATGTGCCAGGCACTGCGCTAGGCTCGCAGGGACCGATGCAGGGCCTCAGGCTCGCAGTGTAATGACTAATGCAGGCGTCTAGGACCCCGAATACAGCCCGGGCCGTTAGTTCCCACCTCCCACAAGTCTCCCAAGCTCTCTAACTGCATCACAAAGTAATTGAGAATAGCATTAAATGAAAACGACGCTCCTTTTGAATATAGTAATACGACTACCCTGCTCATTACCCAAACCATTTTACCCTTAAGAAGTAATCTGGATATTGAAAAAAAAATACGTGTGATTACATTAATGACAGCATTTTTTTGTAATGAACAGTCTTTGTTTCAATCGTTAGAAAATGACTAAGTAACGTATAATGGCGTGTTATGTATTTAAAAAGCATTTTTTCAAAACTGATTTGATTACATGGGTAAGTAATTTTAGTGGTAGGATTATAGGAGGCTCTTTAAATTTTCTGGGTTTTAAAATCTAATTGTTTTCATAAACATTTGTTACTTTTGATTTAAATTACTTCCTTTATTTTTCCTTTATTTCTTTCCTTTGAGTCACTTACATTGCTCCTTAGACCATCCGCCCCTGTAAGTGACTGAGTTTACTCAATCCAGAATATTAACGCGTCCTCT